CAGTTTGAAGAAAAGCCAGGAAACTCTAATGTGGCTACTCTGTATTTGGCTACAGGCTGTCAATTTTAACGTCTTGTTCACCATTCGGCAAATTGGTAACTAGTGAGCACATCTTCTTTACTGGTTTCAACTTGAATGCAAATTTTATAGAAATAAAATTTTAAAAAATACTTTCTGTTATAAAAACAAGATAGCCTTCTTGGAGAATATTTTAGAAATATATAAGACTTACAAGGGAAAGATAAATTCATCTGGATCCCATCTAATTGAATAGCATAATTTCTTTATAATATTTACATACATCTACACACTTGTATATGTTGGCATATATCCATCTTTTAAATTAAATGATTTCATGTAAATAAAACATATAGAATAGTGAATAAATCATAATTGTACAGATTATTGAAGTTTTACATAGTGAACACACGTATATAACCACTCCTCATAGGAGGAAATGGAAATTAATCATCACTCTAGAAACCCAGTCTTATGATTATCTCTGACCCTATTCTATTTTCTTCCACGAAGTGACCCATTCTAACTTTTATCACCCTATATAGATTATGCTTCTTTTTGAAATTTATAAGAGTGGAATGAAAGTGTATGTACTCTTTTATATCTGTCTTTTTTCATTGAACTTTATGTTCATGAAATTCATCCATATAGATTACTTGTAGCAGTAGTTTGTATATTTTTAGTACTTTATACATTATGTGCATAAAACATAATCTATACAACCATCTACTATCAATGGAAATTTGGGTTGTTTCTAGATTTTGGCTATATAATTCTATTCTGGACATCTTTGTACATGTATTTAAATAAAATGTTTATTTTGAAATTTAAATATAAAAATACATACAAAATCATATGTGAATAGCTATATGAATTTTCAAAGAACAAGTACAGCAATATATCAGTACACTGATAAAGAAATAAGTCATTGACAATACCCAAGGATTCCCTTCTATACATCATAATTTTTTAATGACTGCTAAACACTATGTATAAAAAAATTATAGAGGCTTTGAATTAAGTGTTGTTACTGAAAAGAGGATTTGTATTTCCTTCTGTTAAAATAGGAGCAGATCACCTTAATCCAATTAGAGTTTGAATGTTGGATTTAAATCTGAGTAAGGTCTGGTCTAACCCTCATGCACAATTACTCATGTAGTGTAGAACTTTAGTGATCACAACAGAAAGCTTGGGGAATTTACCAAGACCTCGCTTCCTTGGCAGCTAGGATATCACTTGATTACTGGATTCCTCAGCCCCATCACTGCTGCAAAACTGCTTCAGCTTCACTCACTCTTACTTCTTTATGCTCAGTTTTTTTAGCTTCTCACTATAAATCACTTACAAATTAATAGAAAAATGTGTCTGTATTTTTTTAAACAAAAGTTGGATGATTTTGTCTTGACAGTTTCATCCTGCTTTTTCCTCCTACTTTTTATTTACACATTACTGAATATTTTAAGACCATAGCATATTGGATTTTTTACTTTCCAGGTTAGGATTCTTTCTGTGCCTGTGCTCTTAGCCTTCTGTGATCTGCCCCACACTGTGGGTCGTGTGCTGTTCTCAGTGTTTGATTAGAGAGAGTGCTTTCCAGCTTGAGTTACATATGAAGATGTTCCTTGATTGTGCAAAAGTCATCGATCTACATAAGTTTTTTTTATTTTTTATTTCAGCGTAACATGGGGATACAAATGTTAAGGTTACATACATTGCAATTACCTCCCTCCCCCCCTTGAGTCAGAGCTTCAAGCATGTCCATGCCCCTGACAATGCACAATGCACTTGTAACGTATATATATATAAACCTATCCCCTCCCCCCCACCTGCCCAACACCCAATAAATGTTTTTTGGTTTTGGTTTTGGTTTTTTATAACATTTTGGTTAGGTTTTATAACTCTGCCTTTCCTTAGTGAAGGTTAGAGGTATGCCCTTCCCCTCCACACTGTTCGCTGTATCCCTCATATGTGGGTCTATCCCCCCACCTCCCGAATCTCTGGTGAACAACACCACCCTTTGAGCAACATAATGATAATCAGTCAGTACCAATGTGATGGTGTGTACATGTGGAGTCCATTTTTCTGATCTTGTGTCACCTTACTTTGGATAATGGGCTTAAGCTCAATCCAGGATAATATAAATGGTGTAAGCTCACTGTCATTTCTTAGAATTGAGTAATAGTCCATTATAAACATATACCAAATTTTAATTATCCAGTCATGAATTGATGGGCACTTGGGTTGTTTCCACATCCTTGCAATAGTGAATTGTGCTGCCATAAACATGCGGGTGCAGATGTGTTTATAATAGAATGACTTATGCTCTTTTGGGTAGATGCCTAATAATGCTATTGCTGGGTTGAATGGTATTTCTATTTTTAGCTATTTGAGGTATCTCCAAATTCCTTTCCACAAAGGTTGTACTATTTGCAGTCCCACCAGCAGTGTAAGAGTGTTCCTGTCCTTCCGCATCCTTGCCAGCATCTATTGCTTTGGGATTTCTTGATACGGGCCAGTCTCACTGGGGTTAGATGATATCTCATTGTGGTTTTGATTTGTATTTCTCTAATGATTAGAGATGTTGAGCATTTTTTTATATGTTTGCTGGCCATTGTTCTGTCTTCTTTGGAAAAGTTTCTATTCATTTCCATTGCCCATTTCTTGATGGGGTTGTTTGATTTTTTCTTGTTAAATCTTTTGAGTTCTAGATAGATTCTTGTTATCAGACCTTTATCAGAAGTGTAGAGGGCAAATATTTTTTTCCCATTCTGTAGGTTGTCTCTTCACTCTAATGATAGTTTCTTTGGCTGAGCAGAAGCTTTTTAGCTTGATCAGATCCCATTTGTTTATTTTTGTTCCTGTGGTGATTGCTTTCGGGGTCTTCTTCAAAAATTATTTGCATAGGCCAATGTCAGAAAGGGTTTTCCCAACATCTTCTTCAAAGATTCTTAGGGTTTCATGTCTTGGGTTTAAGTCTGTTATCCATCTTGAGTGGATTTTTTTGAGAGGTGAGAGGTAGGGATCCTGATTTATTCTTCTGCATGTAGATATCCAGTTTTCCCAGCACTGTTTATTGAAGATAGATTATTTTCCCCAATGTATATTTTTGTCAGCTTTATCAAAGATTAGGTTACCATATGCTGATGGTTTCATCTCTGGAATCTCAGACCAATTCCAAACATCAATGCTTCTGTTCTTATGCCAGTACCAGGCTAATTTAATTATTATTGCTTTATAGTACAGCTTGAAGTCAGGAAGACTGATGCCTCCCAGTTTGTTCTTTTCACTTAAGATTGCTTTGGCTATACATGGTTTTATTTCTGGTTCCATACAAAGCGAATAATTATTTTTTCTAGATCTGTGAAGAATGATGGTGGTATTTTGATGGGGATTGCATTAATTCTGTAGAAGACTTTAGGTAATACTGACATTTTAACGATATTGATTCTACCCATCCATGAACAAGGTCTGTTTTTCCATCTGTTTACTTCTACAATTTCTTTTTTTAGCGTTTCGTAGTTCTCCTTGTATAAGTCATTCATATCTTTCGTTAGATATATTCTTAGATATTTAATTTTCTTTGGAGCTATAGTAAAAGGAATTGTGTTTTTTGATTTGAACTTCAATTTGACAGTTCTTGGCATATATGAATGCCTCTGATATGTGTATATTGATTTTGTAACCTGAGACTTTACCGAATTCAGTTATCAAATCTAGGAGTCTCTTGGAGGAATCCATGGGGTTTTCTAGGCATAATATCATATCATCTGTGAAAACCGAGAGTTTGATTTCATCTGCACCCACTTGGATGCCCTTAATATCCCTCTCTTGCCTGATTGCTATAGCTAGTACTTTGAGCACTATGTTGAATAGAAGAGGAGATAGTGGGCATCCTTGTCTAGTTCCAGTTCGAAGTGGGAGTGGTTTCAATTTCCAAAACCAGGAAAGGATGCAACAAAAAAAGAAAATTACAGACCAGTATCCCTCATGAATATATATGCAAAAATCCTTAACAAAATTCTAGCAAACAGAATTCAGCAGCACATCAAAAAAATAATTCACCATGACCGGTGGGCTTTATTCTAGGATGCAAGGCTGGTTCAACATATGCAAGTCTATAAATACAATTTGCCTTATAAATAAAAACAAGAACAAAGACCATATGATTCTCTCAATAGATGCAGAAAAAACATTTGACAATGTCCAACACACCTTTATGATAAAAAATCTGAACAAAATAGGCATAGGTGGTTCTTATTTTAAAATTATCAAATCCATTTATGAGAAACCCATGGCCAATATCATACTGAATTGGGACCTACATAAAATTTTGTAGTTGCAGCAGGCCAGGGATTTACCTTTTAATTAGTTAGCTCATACTACTGATGAGGTTTACTTGCCTACCATTTCCATAGACCATATGTGCATAAGATAAACATTCCATTACTACTGCATGGTGCTCATAGTCTTGGTTTAGATGCAAACATAAAAAATTACTAAGGTAGTATTTTCTAGTAACATTAGCTTGCCTTAAAATACCCATATGATATATCATGCTATTTTATAATGTACTGGTTTTATTTCTAAAGAGTAAGAAATATAAGTGATGAAGACTACAGAAAAGGCACATTTCAGAGATAAGGGGTGCATGTGTATATAAACAAAAGCTTGCCATTCATAAAATGTGAACAAGATAAAGGTAAAAATCATTTTCTGAGAGTAATCCTCCAGGAAATACTTGACATTTTCAAGAAGATGTTTGCCCTTTAATGCCATCATTTGCTTTTTTCATCTGTTTTTTGAGGTGTTTGAAAATTGCAAGCTTCTTTTTTAAAATATTTTTTATATATGTTTTAGAAAGCTAAGGACTAGGAATAAGAATGAGACACTTTTCAGATAGACAAATACCAAGATGACCACTTAACTGAATTCAAAATAAAAATAGCTCTTCTCACATTTAATTCTTTTTTTTTTTTTTTAAGACTTCAACTGCCACAGTAAATGTGGTGGTGACAGATGTCAATGACAATGCTCCAGTGTTTGATCCCTACCTACCTAGAAATTTATCTGTGGTGGAGGAAGAAGCCAATGCCTTTGTGGGTCAAGTAAGGGTAAGTGGAATATTTATATATATCTTAAGTGTATTTATTAAAAGTGCATATACTTCTTACATCTTAATTTTGAAAAGAGATGCAGCTGATGTAATTTGTTAAATGACTGTTCTGGATACTTTTCAAGATTTTTTTTTTCATAAATGATATCCTGTACATTTGGACTTAACTTATTAAGGGTACCAATTTACATTTTATGATCATTGTGTACTTTAAATATTGATTAATGTGATTAATTAAAATTGATTAATTATTTCTTATATTTAATATATATTCTCATTTTCTGGAATTAAAATATTTTTAGAGAAATGTGCAATTAGATATACTAATTAGGTATAGATGTAGATATTCATCCCTCAAAACACATATATTTAGGTGTGAATTCATTTTGTTATATAAATATATCTTTAACATCTACTATGTGTCCTATATTTCCCCATGCCCCTTGTCCATCATTATGAAAATTTATTTTAGGCATGTTCTCCTATAACCTGCCTGGACATAAAAGCCAGTTTCTGCAGTTCATTTGATGAATAATCCCTTTATTCTTAAAGCAGAGACATTACTTCTTCTACTGGGCCACGCTTGGTCTTAAACATAATTAATGGTCTGTAAGCCACAAAATAGGACAAATTTTTAGGAAGACATGCATATTCTGAAGCATTTACCTCTGTGGTCTCCTGGCAAGGAATGAATCTTTCTCTAGGAAGAAGGAATAAGGTACCCAAGGATTCCAGAAACAGGTTTCAGGGTCACACTCCTTCCCTGCTAAGGCCCTTAAGCCTTCTCTACAGTTCTGCTACTCTTATAATCTAACACAGGGCCTGGTTTTTAGTTCAGTCTTCTATGGCTAAAAAGAAGAGAGTTAGTTTAAATGTCATCATAAAGATCTTCTGACTTTTGCACCATATCCTGAATTTTTTTTTAAACATATTATGGAGTACAAATATTAAGGTTACATATATTGCCCATGCCCCACCCTGCCACCTCGAGTCAGAGTTTCAAGCGTGACCGTCTCCCAAACATTACACATCTCACTCATTATGTTTGTATATACCCATCACCTCCCCCCCCCCACCTGCCTGACAACCAATAAATGACATTCCTATATGTCCATTTAAATGTTGATCCGTTAATATCAATTTGCTGGTGAGTACATGTGGTGCTTGTTTTTCCATTCTTGAGATACTTCACTTAGTAGAATGGGTTCCAGCTCTATCCAGGAAAATACAAGAGGTGCTATATCACCATTGTTTCTTAAAGCTGAATAGTACTCCATGGTATATATACACCACATTTTATTAATCCTGAAATTTTGATTGACTAGTTTGAACCTGTTATTTTTTTTCCTTCAGAGCACTGGCAATACTTACAACAGTACTAACTATACGGTTATTATCGTTATCATTGTCACCGTCTCTCTCAAACACTGAAGAGATTGCATAGGGCATACATCCCCGTATACCTTTATGCCATTCCAGTTCACTACAGGGGATAATCTTGTTCATCATGAAGTTACAACATGTCAGGAGGGCTTGATGCCAACTGGCCAGCAAGTGATTCAAATGCAGAATCCCATCTGAAGGCTCCACCTTCATCCCCTACCATAATACCCCACCTGTGATGTACTATCTTACTGTGGCCTCTCCAAGAAAAAACCTGGAGACAATATATTCAAGTATAAATAGTTTGTTTGAGAAATTCAGGTGACACTAATAGAGAAGTGAGAAAATGATGCAAGGAAAAGAAGGTTGCCAATGACGGCATTGCTATTAAACCAGCTATCACAAAGAAAACTGGAGTGTAATCCCAAGAGCAAATTCTAGGAAAAGGTACAAATTTATGCATCAAAATTATCCCTCTCAAGAAGTGATGAAACTGAAAAATCTATATGCTAAATCTGAGAGTTATTGGCTGCTATACTGGAGCAAGGGGATGGCAAAGTTTTGGCTCTTCTTGCCTCCAGTGCAAGCAAGTAGCCAAATTGCCTCTGCTGATTCTGATATAATGGCATTGAGTCAGTCTGTAAATACTAGCAGATGGAAGTTGGCCAGAGCACACCAAATGCTCTGAGGGACATGCATAGGGTACCGACAATTTCTGCTGAACCAAGTAAATGAGGTGATAAAGTCAACTATTCCATATTGTAAAACTTTTCTATACCATGTCATAGAAGGTGATAGAGAAACCTTAACCTCACATTATAAAGGTTACTCCTGAGCAGATTATAATGGGAGACTCTAAAATCCAGAAAGCTAAAATAGTAGGCAATTGTAATAGCTCAAGTATAAGAGGTTTGAACTAATGTAATAGTCTAACCATAATTATAATTAAATTACATTACAGTTGTCACCACATTGCTGAAAACTGAAAAATTTATTTAATCATATCTATCAACTATTTAGATATGACAAACAGGTATTGAAATCATCAGAAAAATGATCTTTCCCATTTTCTTAATTTATTTAGTACGGGAGATCTAAAGCCTATATGGAATACACAACTAATAACCCATAAACAGACATCAACATAATGGTTAGTTTTTACTTAATTTTCTTTCACTTTTTCTTATTTTTGCCACTTTTCCTAGTGATTCTTTGTCCCTGAAAGAATTGTTGCATTAATGTTTTCTTGTCTCCTAGTCCTTAAATTTGATGAGAAATGGTCTCCATAATTTATTTCAGATTAGAAATTGAAATGTAGACCTTAGCACCCATAATTAGATACACTGTAATTGTCCTACTCTTTAGGCAATAACATGTTTTCATAAAAAACTAAAATGATTTTGAAAGTACAAAGGAAGAGGAAAATATCTATAGCAGCCTGCATCCAACTGATTCTGTACAGTTTCAGAGAAGTTGTAATGTTCATAGGATGGAATTTTGATGCATCATAATGGTCTCCTGTTGCTACCTAATGATAATTATATAATACATTAATTTTACTAAATGATTCATGCTCCACTTGTAAAATTTAATTTTAATTGTCATCAGAAACTATTAAGACACACTTAAAACCAAGATATGTATGGTTAATTCCTTTACTGAATTCAAGCTATCAACTTTGTGTTTATGTTTTAATGATATTTTAATATGAATAATCTAATGTTTGGATTCAAATACTGAAGGAATCTTTTTGTTTACTTTTTAAAGGTAATGTTACAGTAACAAGCTATAGTAACTAAGGAATACTTTTGAAGCAATATTTCAGGATCATACATAGCAAACGTTTTGTCCAGCATATTAAAAAATAAACTACCAACCAGCAATATTTGAATGTAAATTTTACTATTCACAAAGTATAGTGTACCACTTTTATTCATTCATTTGTTTATTTGTCTAAATTTTATGGAATACAAATGTAATTGTGTTACACGCATCCATTGCATAGTGGTAAAGTCTCAGGGCTTTTAGGCTACCCATTAGAATAGCATACATTATATCCATTTCCTAATTTCTCATCACCCATCCCACTATCCCCCATCCTCCAAGTATCCATTGTCTATCATTCCACACTTTATTCCCAAGTGTACAGTATAGCACATTTAGACTTGAAAATCTTATCAATATTCTCAAAGTACTTGCTATAACAGTATAGTAGGGGCGAAAAGATGCATGCATAATAAAACCTAGTAAACACTGTAAGAATATACTCTATGTCAAGTGTCAAATGGGTAAAAAAAAATATTTACTGAAATGAGAAACATTACAATGGACTGAGCTGGCCAGGTCAGGGTTCATGGGAAAAGATTACTCCTAGTACTTTTTGACATATTAATAAAATCATGGTTGGAAAAAAAAAGGAAATAGAGGTACCAGGCAAAAAAGATGTATTACAAGATATAATTCACCTGAGAGGCAATTTGAGGACTCTAAGTTAATAGTCTAACAATAATAGAATATTTATTTTGAGGAGCTCTTAAAAAATGATTAGAGACATGTTGAGCTCATATGGAGCCTCATGAAATAGTGACTGATACAATGACTTTATCAGCTTAGTATTTTGTTTAGTATCCTTCATAGTATTAATATGTCATAGGAGATAGACTCTAGAGGACCTGTATGCATATCCTTACGCTACACCGCAAGCATACCAATAGTTCTTCTTTAGAATGGTCTCAGATATAAGAGGCCTCATACCAGCTGCAGCACTCTCAGATGATCCCAAATTCCTGGGTGAGCAGATGCCAGCAGAAGCCCCAAAATGTTTCTATGCAGTAATATACTGATTAATTCTGCGGCTCTGGTCTTTGTCCCTTGGAATTCTCTGTTCAAAGGACCAGGCATTTGCTACAATGTGGAATATACAACAGCAGAGCATGGCATAACCTCTGTGAAGGACCATTCAACCTTTAGATACACTGATTCAGGCAATCTTCTAAATCTGAGCGCAGCTCTTCATCTACTTTCTTTTAACTTGTTTCTTTCTGAACCGTTACTTCTGTACTCACTACACCAGAATCCCAGAGTTCTCAGCTCACCTGCAAGCTTTCACTTACTTATGTATTGTGATGAGTACACCATGCCCTGGTCATGTGGTTCATACTGTCACTAAATCATATGATTCCATGAATACAGACCCAGTATCCCAGCAATATACAAAACTTAATGAATGGGTTAAAACATGTGCTCTGCTATCAAAGTACCTAAGTTCAAATCTAACTTACCAATATGACTAATGTGATTGTGGATAACTAAGTTAGCCTCTCTGGGCATGGGCTTCTTTATTTGTAAAATATGGACAATAATAGAATCAACCTCATATAGTGATTGGCAGGATTAATACATACATGCAATATATGTATACATTTAGCATAATACATGAAAATAGTGTGCATTTAATTTGTATTAGCTATTATAATTATGTTAAATCATTAAACAATTTATAAAGTATGGCTATCTACAGTATTAGAGAAATTAATATTTTTAATAATACTATGAATTAAATGCAAGTGACTGTGTATTATTTTTTGAGCTATAAGTCATTTGCACTAGTGCATT